AAATTATATGTTAAAACTTAATATTATAGACTAATTTTTATTAATAATTTACAAAAAATTTTAAAAAATTATTTTTTTCTTTTAAAATCTGTAAGATGTTTATTTATATTTTAAAATACAACAAAATTTTTTATTATATTATAGAATTTAACATTATAAACAAGTTTAATTATTATATAAAAGATTATTATATTAATAAAAAATTAACTTTACATAATAAAATACTCAAAAAATTATTATTAATAATTAATGAGTATTCTCATACTTTTTATCAGTCATTATATTTTTTTAAAACCTTTAAAATACATTCTAAGAAATCTTTTTATTATAAAACTTTTTTTAATTTTATATGTTCAAAAAAAAGTTAAAGCATATTTTTACATTAGTGTTATTTGTCTATTATTTTTGCGTTCATTGAATTGCATGAGTGAAAATCAGGTGATCAACGATTAGCGATGCAAGTGGTGCGTTATTATGCGGGCCACTGTACATCAAAGGAAAGAAAATAGTATATATGATCAGTAGCTTGTAAATTTATGGCTTTCTTTATCATTGACATTATGAAGCAATATAACTGCACTCGACACCTTTTTGGTGCAGTTAATGATGTCCAAGTAAAAACAATGAATATATATACTCATATTTCCGTTTAAAAAACTGAAAGGTTGTTTGGCAATCGATTTTCAAATTTGGACCAGACTACATGTATTTATTCGCGGACGAGTGAAAAAGGCAATATTTATTATTATTTACCAACAAATAATGGCTCTATTATGCATGATACTTAAGAGTTGCATGCACATAAGAGTTTATTTATTTAGCAAGTTTTCCTTTTACTGCTATAAAAAAATTCATACATAATGTTATATATGGAATTTCTAACACAAAGGATTCAAAATATCAAATGGCGCTATTCAAAAGTCAACACAGAACTGCACAAAGAAATATATAAAGAGGAAGAAAAGTTAGTATTTTCACGATTTCTTTTTGATTTTATCTATAAAGTTTCATTATAACATGAACTATTGAAATCCAGAAATCCGATTGAACTTGAAGTAATCGAAAACGAGGAAGACAACGTACCATTATTACAGGATACTGACAATGGGACGAGCCGTGAAGAATTAAAAACTCTGAGACGAGTTCCCGATGATATTCCAACTGGTAAAATAAAAGTATATTTTAGATATGATTTCGTGATTCCATGTTTGAATTTCATTAAAATGTTTAGCGAACAATAGCAACTTGGTACATAGTTTTGTGTGAACTATGTGAAAGATTTACATTCTATGGCGTTTCTGGACCATTTCAAAACTATATTGAGTTCCCAGCGCCAAAGAATCTCGGAGAGCAATCAGGAGCAATTGGAAAGGGGCAACAAGCAGCTACTGCTCTATCACTATTTTTCAGCTTCTTTTCCTATGTAACCCCAATAATTGGAGCAATAGTAGCCGATCAATATCTTGGAAAATACAAAACTATCTTGTGTTTCAGCATAATTTATATAACCGGACTATCGGTATTGACAATAACAGCCACTCCAATAGCAATCTCGAGTGGCGCATCTTTACCAGGACTCGTTTTGGCAATGATAATAATCGGACTTGGAGCAGGCGGAATAAAGACAAATGTTTCAGTGATGGTCGCCGAACAATATACAAAAAAGAAATCATTTATTCGAACATTGAAAAACGGCGAGAAGGTAATCGTTGATCCAAAATTAACTATTCAATCGATATTCGCTTGGTTTTACGTGGCTATCAACTTGGGAGCTATCTCGCCAATTGTTACTACGACTGTGGAAAAATATCATTCTTTTTGGTTGGCTTTTCTGATCCCATTGATCATCTGTTTGATTTCGGTGACTATATTTTACATTGGTCGTAATAAATATGTGCACACAAAACCATCATCACATGGATCAATTATCCTCAATGCCATCAAAGTGATTCGAATTACACTGATGAATAAACGGGACTTTGAAAAAGCAAAACCATCACAAATGATTCAATTTGAACAAAAGGAAAACGGAGTTTCATGGAATGATCAATTTGTCGATGAATTACGTTCGGCTATCAATGCATGTCGCGTGTTTATGTTTTTTCCGATCTACTCGGCCGCCTTCAATCAACTATACGCAAATTTAGTATCTCAAGCGGCGACAATGCGACCTGGAATTCTTCCTAATGACATAATGAGCTGTCTTGACCCGATTACTTTTGTTATTATAGTTCCGTTGATTGATCGAGTGTTTTATCCTTTTCTGCGAGGACATGGAATTTCATTTGGATCAATTACGCGAATATTTATTGGAATGATGTTTGCGTCAGCTGCAATGATTTATAGTGCATTAATTCAATGGTGGATTTATAATACGGGACCATGTTATCGAAATACACATTGTTTGGTCGATGGTAAAGCCACTTATAATGATATTAGTATTTGGTGGCAAGCTCCAATTTATTTCATGTTGGCAATTTGTGGTGGTGAGTTATCAAACTATTACTGTTGACTTCATTTATTCCGTAATCTGACCTTTTATTATTATTATTATTATTATTATTATTATTATTATTTAGCTTTTGCGAGTGTCACGAGTCTCGAGTTTGCATTTCAAAAGGTAATTCAATTAATTAAACGGAATAATTACTTTTCGTTATAACTAAAAAAAAATTTAATAGGCACCAATATCGATGAAATCGATTGTAACCGCGTTATATTTAACGACACACGGTCTAGGAGCAGCAATTGGACTCTTGATTGTACCATTGGCTCATGACCCATATAACATATACGTATATGTTATTCTCGCGTTGATCACTTTTATCGCGGCATCGTTAATGTTTCTCTCATTTCGAAAATACAATGATTGAATGATGATATTTATGTTTATCCAACAAATTTTTGATAGAAAAAATATATATATATAAAAACTATTAATGTATGACTATTATAATAACTTAGACCTCAGGAACAGAAAAAGTGGGACTTAAAAGAGATTGTGACTATACGAAGGTCAAATTTCCTAAGCTGGAACTGGGAAAAGTGATTGTAGAGGTACGAAACGCCTTAATAAACTAAAAAGACTTGCCTACAGCAAGTTAGTCAGTTGACATGTAACAAACAAATAATACTTTTTCGAGAAAGACAATGGGTGAATGTATAGCAGCGATCACAAACAATAATATCACTTAATTTAACACTCGAAGCAATTCTTTTGTATTATTGGATGATTATGTTGTTCAATCATTTTTACTTGATCAATTATGGTTGCACGATGCACACGAATATTTCACAATGTGAGTATCTTCCATTCTACGTATATATAGCTTAACATTAACGTTAAGAAAAACTTAAAATCAAATGTGCATAGGCCGACGACGAAAACGACGGCAATTCACTCTTTATCTTTTATTTATTTAACAAAAATATCAAAAGAAATTCAACTGAGAAAACTTCTCATATTCTCGTGAATAAAATTATTATTACTTTACGAAATATTACGAATTCTTACAATGAGTGGCTCAAGTACACTAACAGTTCTCACTCTAAATTGCTGGTAAAACTGAACTTTTTTTTATTATTCTCTTTTCACTCGAGCCAAACATAAAAAAAATCAAATATTAACACTACTCACACTACGACTCTTGCCACAATTGACAAATAATAAAAAGGGGACTTAAATTCATTTCAAAGAAAAGGAACCAGCGTATGGAAGCAATCGCCGACGCTCTTGCACAATCTGACTATGAAATAGTTTGTCTACAAGAGGTTTGGGTTTATAGTAATTTCGAGCTTATCAGACATAGAACGAAAAGGAGACTTCCATATGCTAAATTCTATCATAGGTAGGTAATTAATAGTGTTTAATTCGTCCGAAGGAAAATTCTTATTGATAATCTCCGATTATTATTATTATTATGTACTAAAGTGGAATCGTTGGCGGAGGCTTAGTAATTCTCTCACGTTATCCGATTCTAGAAGTAACACATCATCCATATCGTCTCAATGGTCTACCAATTAAAGTCACACATGGGGATTGGTATTCTGGTAAAGGGGTGGCTAGTGCATTGATTGATCATCCTGTTGCGGGAGTAATTGAAGTTTTTAATACACATGTAAGCTTTCTTTTTTTTCCTTGATCTATGTATCAGAATCCAATTCCTGACACTAATGTAAATAAATAATAATAATAGACGCATGCTGGATATGGATCACAAAAAAATGATATTTATCTGGCACATAGAGTTTCGCAGGCATGGGAAATTGCGAATTTATTAAAGAATTCGGCATCTCGTGGTCGAAATGTCATAGCGGTATTTATAATATGACGTTAGAAATCTTGTTCACCTTCCTCCATTCAATTTATTTATAATAATAATTTATCCACTATTTAATAAATTAATACTAGATGGGTGATTTTAATAGCGAACCAGATAGTATATTACACAAATTAATTGTGCAACATGGTCAAGTGGCGGATGCATGGCAAGCTCAACATCCCTCAACTCCTGCAAGTATATCGACCTCTTCGTTGGCACAACAGCAGCAGCAGCAGCAACAGCAGCAACAGAATGTATTTGATTCCTCATCGACCATGACACAAAAAGGCGCCACCAGTGGTTCCTCAATGAATACATGGAGCAAAAATTACTCGTCCAAGGAATCAGCACTAAATTCAGATCTAGGTAAAAGGATAGACTACGTTTTCTATCGAAAAACATCAAGATTTTGGTGTACCGGATCACGTGTAGTATTCACAGACTTAATACCAGAGCTAAAATGTAGTTACTCTGATCATTTCGGTGTTGAGGCCACTTTTACATTAGTCGGACGAGACAAAAATTCCGTAATTCCATTATCAATTTGGGAACAGGCTGCCTACGATAATGTACAGGAATTTGAACCACTTATATATAAAACTATATTAACTCTTTTCAGACAAGATACAGCAAATGCGATTTCCAATGCACGATTTCAATTGACATTATTTTGGATTTCATGTTTGCTGGTGATTTGTGGAATAATTATTGAATCGCTCATTGCCGCAAACGTTTTAGATGCTCTCTGGCTTAGTGTTATAATTCTGTTGATTGTGACTGGATTCGCAGTCTTTGGAACAATTATCGGCTTAATTGGGTTCTTGTTTGGTAATGCAGAAGAACGCGGATTCAAACATATAATTCAAGAAGTTGAGTCATTTATCGAAGGAAAAAAAGAGTACGATAGTAGACGTGCTAGTGCAGTTACTCAAGAAGATAATTTTAGTAGTGATCGATCCGAGGGTTTTGGTCCATTAGTTGAGATTGATGGTCGGAATCAAATATATTGATGACTATTATCTTTTTCTTATTTCCACATGTATATTACTTAATATTTGGACTTATGGATTTTATTTGTATAATTATTAATTATAATTATAATTACTATTTTTCTATTTTTATTTTTTTTTATCATTTATATATATATATATTATCCATACCTTGTATTTTTAGAAAAACTCAAATCACTATCACTTCCGCTTTTTTTACTTTGTAGTGATTAATCCTCACTCTCATCCCTTATTTATTATGTTAAAAGTAGATGATGTTTATAGAATAAAAAAATCACATAAAAAACACGTTTTCTTGCATACTTTTTCTTTCCACATTACTTTCTTCTTTTTAAAATCATTATCTTCGGTTGGTCCCTCTTTTCCCGGGATTGACTGAAGAGTGCGAGGCTCGATGAAAAAAGTAAATAAATCCATTATTTCCCCATTTTGTTTTTTTCTTAAAAAGGTACAGAGAACCAATCTCTTTTTCTTGCCATTTATTCCCTCTTAAACCAACAAGAACAAAGAGATAACAGTATAATCGATAAGATCTTTCGAATTTGCCAATGTCAAAATCCCGATCAACGTGTTGGATTATTATTATTATTATTATTATTATTATTATTATTATTTATTATTATTATTATTATTATTATTCTCGAGGACTTCGATCAAAGTATCATCTGGATTCTGTTCATGTTGTATTGACGAGAGTTATGAATAACTCCTCGTGTAAGAAAATTTCGGCGATCAGGCATAATCATTCTAGACAACCTGCTTCGTTATCTCGCGAATTAACGCCTTGATGATTATTAGATAAAGAATTCAAGATTTTCCTTTCCAAACCACGCATATATCAAGGTTAGGATCACATGAGCTTCGCGTAAGGTGCGCGTTGTGTCAAACATACATTCAATGGTATCGTTCCGGTTGTCGACACGTATTCCCTGTAAGTCAAGCTTGGCTTTTATCAATGTCATCAAAATTCGGATAGGGGTCGTTTTGGTGCTTGAATATTATCAGCAAAAAATTTTCTTGAGTATGACGCGTAAAGAAAGAATAACTTTGAAAAATAATTTATTTAAAGGGTGAAGTAATGTTTCGCAACTTTCTACTCAAAATCAATTCAACTAAAAAAAAATCTTAAACATGTGAACAGAAAAATTGACCATATTTTATATAGATATTCAATAACGATAATGGAAATTTGATGCTCTAATGGCATTGTGTGTGACATACATATGCATATTTTATCCCATGCGAAATCTAAAAAATATTACACAGCCATCCATATTTGTGTTGCTACACCTCAAATTTTTAACGCGTGAAACGCGTCTGTCTAATGAACACGATTGATAAAATGTCAATTATAAAACTTGCAACCAGAAAAGGCATATTTTTGTGTCAAATTATTATGTTAATAGAACGAATCAGCCAATCGATCAGTTGATCAATCAATCCGACACGACAACACTCCAAAGGTCGATAGTTGATTTTTCCTACATATACTACGTGGAGATTAAAACTTCAAATCTTCTTTCTTCACGTTCTTGTTCTCGTTCTTGTCCTACCTAACTTTATAACCTCTTAAATTATTTCAGAGTGTTGTCTAGTAATATATCGTCTATCATAGAGCAAGAAAGGGAAAAACGCGCGAAAATCATTTTTTTTAAAAAAAAACTTTCGCGTAATAAATTAACCTTTCACTTTCAACATGGACGAGAACTCAAATATAACCTCCCGAAACCGTCACCGTCTTCACAACCCCAACAAGAATAGCACCAGCAACACCCTCGCTTTAAAACGTAAGACTGCACCTTCTCCTATTAGTATTCCCAGTAATGACAAAGAACTTGGACACGAGGTGGAACAAGAGGATATGGTGGTGCTTCAAAAAATGAAAGAGGCTTTGAATGTTGCACTGCTTAAGGACCAGAATGACGCGTCTTCGTTGTCGAATAACTCGAAAAATATAGGTATTATATATTGTAAATTTCGCGAAAGCGCGTCGAAATTCCAATCATGTATCAACAATAATAAATAATAATAACAATAAAAACAAGGAAAATTGTCAATACCAAAAAATCTTGTGGGATTGCTTCGAAATAAAATCACAAGAGAAAACAGTATACTCAAGCCGAAAGGTACGTGATCAGTCTTCAATTGACCTGACCTGCATGAGTTTGACGCTGTAAATTTTATTTTAGATAATACCTTGAACGTCGTCAATAACCGAAAAATCTCAAAAAACAATAATGCGCTTGTGCAAATGTCATCTTCTTCTAACACTGTGAACAATAATCCCGGCAATCAGCAACATATGTCATGTCCAAACATGTCTGACCATCTAGAACGACAACAGCATGACAATGAAAATCCCGTGATCGTGAACAACAATCCCTCAATCAATAATTTATCGGATAATTTACCACCACAATCACCACAACGAATACAAAATCAAGATCCTCCCCAATATCCACAACCAAATGATCCCGCCAATGGATTAATAATAAATCATTATTATAAGTTTCCCGGTAAAGAAAATATACCGCCCGCATTACTCGAGGAATATTATTCTATTTTCCAGGAATTGCATGAACAAGAACGAGTAATCCGTGAGTCAGATCAAATTAGTATTGACACGCAAAGACAAGGCTCCGATAATGCTTCTATAAATGCTTCATCATCCAATAATAGAAAGAAAGTGGCGACTTCAAAAAGATCAACCAAATCAAAGAAGAAAAGATCTACTAAAACTAATAAAAATAAAGCTGATGTCGATAATGAAAATCAAGACCCAACCAAAAATAATCGTAGCAATAGATAACGAGCAGACTTAGTAACAGTTCGGTATTGTCTAATGCTATATCTGTATTGCTATTTGCTCGTCATGAAATTTGTTCACAGAAAGTGCATTTTTTACACAATTAATTAATTTCTCAAAAATGGGAATCCAAATAATGTAGTTTGTCATCACATTCATTGCATTACACATCGTTAATCTTGTGACATGATTAAAATTTTCTCATGTAAATAAGGGTAGACATTTATTGATTTACTAATTTTAATTCAGGTTTTCTATTGGTTGAGGATATTAAAGATTGATTTTAAGGCCAGTGTTAGGGTTTAGGTTAGAGTGAAGGACAAGATTATATGTAAGATTGCCTTCCCGATATTTTTTATTAGTGCTTCAAGCCAGATTTAAGCATTCGTTTTCCGTATTTTTCACATTATTCGCACTTTTAATTTCATGTGTCGGATTTGTTTTTCTGGGTTGATCAAAAATCTATGCATATTTATTGGTTAATCTAGAAGATCCGGTATGCAGTCAACCAATCAGCGATGGAAATTACTTGCGTCCAATAGGAAACTACCCCGGTTCTACTTCTTTGTAATATTACAGGGGATTCCTTGTAATTTACGTACACCTCTCCCTAAAAAATCACCTGATAAATGTCTAAACTGTTAACCATGTTAACCTTGACTACTACTTTTGTTACTTCTGTCGTTAAAGGAAACGAATTCGAGATCAGAGTTTTTAGCGCCTGTGAACGTCCTTCTCTGTTTATCTATCATTCGAAAGCTAGATCTTGCTTCGAGTGGAAGTTGTGGTATTTACACTATCGAGGTATAGTTGAGCTAGTTAGTATTTGGTATGGATAAGGCTCAGGATATAGAGTATAGTATAAATACATGTGATTTTGGGTCATACGCTAATAAGTATTGTATGATCGAGCAAAGAAGTATGGATAGTCGGAAAATCACATGTATGGTTCAGATTTTATACTATACTCTATTTCCTGAGCCAATAGCGTAACCCTTATCCATAACAAATAGCGCTTTTGTAACCATACAATACTAACTAGCTCAACCATACCATAATCGATAGTGTAACACCTTGTGATTTTCCGACCATACCATACTTCTTTGCTCAATCATACAACGTAGGATGATATTTGCTTACATTTATCGTGTAGGATGTCATGTGAAGATGGTGGTGTTTGAAGGGACGCAACGATGGGGATCTTTGTAACGTCAGCTGAAAGTGATTATTCAATGAATGCCATAGAAAGAGCGGAATCATCAAGACTTAATTTGTTGCTGACGAACATATTGAATATGCGTTAGGATATCCTATGACATTCAAAGTGCATCAATAGCGATCAACCCAACACTAGTTGCACATCTCATCATTGATGATCGCAATATGGTGCTTCAATTCAAAATTCAATTGGTTGACAAAACCAGGATTGCGATGATCTTCTCGCTTAAATGAGCAACAAGAACTGATCAAACATCACTTTATCGTAAAGGAATACATGTGCTGGCAGTATACAATCACGTTTCAAAGAGGCGTTGCTCGTAATAATCATATCACTTATCCATGCTGTATTCGAGGAGGAAAAATTGTCCGCCTGAGGATCTCGGTGATATTTATGCTTTTAGAGAATTTAAAGCTGCCATTGCTAATCCAGGTAATTTATATTACATTGCATGCGTGTCCATGAAATTTATTTCTCAATCATTTTATTTTTCTGAACATCTGAAACATCAAGAATAAATATGATGCAATTAATTATAATCGATAAAACTAATGTCTTTGTCAATTTCAACTGATTATTATGAATTATTGACGACCATAAAAAATTTATATGATCCAATTAATTAATAATATTTATTTGTTGGACGCTGGATGATGGAGGAATATTACTGACTACTTACCATTCAATAAACTCAATAATTTATAATATTCATTATAATTTTTGTTGATCATGAAAATCTGATAATTTTTTGTTGATCATGAAAATCTGAAAATCTTTGTTTATTCGGTCAAACTGAAAATGCAAAACTTAAATAATTGTTTTTAGGATTATATAATAAATAGTATTAATAGTATTTAACCAATAAAAAGACTAATAATAGTAAAAGTCCTAAATTTTATTTAAAAAAAAGATGATTTCGGCGGGAGTTTATTACTCATATTCTTCAAATTGATCATCGTCAAGTTCAATTTCTAAAGTATCATTTTCTTGTTCTCCTTCTGTCTCTTCATCTACATCCATTTCTTCGACTTTGGATGCTACCTTAAGACTTTTGAGGCTCCCATTAAATGCATCAAACGGATGATAAACTTCTGACTCGGTGATTGTAAGATTAGATAATGAGTGATCATATTCTTCTGAATCAGATGATGAGGTTTCGGATACATCGATTACTCTTTCGTATGGTTCTTTATCTGTGTTGTCGAGTCTTCCGTTTATTATTGGATGAGACTGTGATTCATCTTCTGCTAGTAGCTCGTTGCTTTCTTGGTATCCGTCTATTGATTCATCATTATTATCAGAATTGGTGTCAACTTCAACTCTTGATTCCGATATATCAGAACCGGATTCACTTGCATTCGCTAGTGAATCCTCTTCCTCCTCTTTGATCTCTATGTCTTTATCAGATTGATCTGAATCGTTACAAGAATGTTCTTCGTGATCTTGTTCGTGTTCGACTAATCTTGACGCCAGAGCATTATCATCATTATCGTCGTCGTCGTCGTCGTCGTCGTCGACATTGTTTTGTCCAAAAAACCCTAACACCCCATTAAATGAGTCATTGAAATTTTGATCAAACTCTTCGTCTTCCGAAGCTTCACCATCCTCTTTAGCTTCATCCCCATTTTTTGTATTACACAATTGTTTAGAGATTAGGTTAAATTGGCTCACATTGAAATTAAACTTTGTTTGCGGTAAATAATTCGGGATCTGTAACCATTTTATTGGATATGGAGCCGGAAGAGATTTTGGAGGAGCACTACACCTTTCTGTGATTGAATCATAGTAAATATCTATTGAGATTCCAACAATATAATCCAATATAATAAAGTTACCTGACCCAGGATGCAAGAAATGACATGTAATTCCGCGTCTACAATATCCTAAATTCCAATATCGACAAATAACTTTATTTGATGAAGAAGAGTCATTACTGTTTGAGGTAATTGTGTTTTTAATATATTGATGTGCAAAGCGACACTTTGATCCGTTTTTACAAGCTCCCTCGAGCCAAAAACGACACGTAGTCATATTTGAGGTGGTGGTGGTGTTCAAAGATAAGTTGTTCATGTTTGTCTCAGCTTCTTCGCCGTTGTCTTTTCGTTTATTAAAGATAATATTTACAATAATTCTAAAATTCTCTAGAAACGCTCGATCTTTCAATCATTCTCATATTTAAAATTGTCCTTTTTGCATATGCAAAAAAAGATCCAACAAAGTAATTGATGCAGAATTTCCTCCTTCTCACATCAATATTAAACCATCAATGTAATTTTGAATTATACTGATTAAGTGATGATAAACGATCATATCTATCAATAAATAATATTACACTCCTTATAATTGTTCTAATAATTTCAGCGAGTCCATAATTGTTTTATCTGTTCCTGATATAACCACGATACATGATTGTTGTAATAATAATGATTTATCCTGTTCACAATGCTCTTGTTCTCAAGGTTTGGTACGTGATCAGCTGGATGCTGAGAGGTGAGTGCTACCCCTTATTTACTACAATCATCTCCGCAGTGACCTTTTGTCTGTGGAATTTGTGAGCCTGTCCGATAACAAGCAAAACTTAGTAACAGTTCGTTATTATCTAATGCTATATCTGTATTATTATTTGCTCGTCATGAAATTGTTCACAGAAAATGCACGTTACATAATTAATTTGAAAATCTTTTCTCAAAATGGGAATCCAAATAAGGTAGTTTGTCATCACATTCATTGCATTGCACATCGAAACAAAACAAACATACTTTAATAACTGTTAACCATGTTAACCTTGACTACTACTTTTGCTACTACTTCTGTCGCTAAAGGAAACGGATTCGAGATCAGCGTTTTTAGCGCCTGTGAACATCCTTCTCTGTTTTATCTAACATTCGAAAGCTAGGTCTTGCAGAATTGGTTGCATGGGGGTATTTACACTATGGACAAGGGTTATCGTTACGCTATTGGCTCAGGATACATGGTATAAATACATGTGATTTCCGAACCATACCATTACTTCTTTGCTCGATCATACAATGTAGGATGACATTTGCTTACATTTATCATGTGTTTGAAGGGGTTGCAACGATGAGGATCTTTGTAACGTCAGCTGAATGCCATAGAAAGAGCGGAATCATCAAGTCTTGAATTGTTGCCGATGAACATATTGAATATGCGTCAAGATATAATCAAAAGTTGATCCCATAGAAGAAAAATGGAAGAGAGGATCAGAGCAACGATTGGGATCAAAGGAGATTTATGAGAAAAATAAATTAGAATAGAGGACAAAATCCTAATTTTTTTTATTTATTATTGTATTAATACGTGGGTCAGCCAGTTGTTACAAATAATTACAAATTTGGGCGAATTTTAATTTCGCATTCTTACGAGTATACTCAGAAAGGGATCATAATGGGATCTCCGAAAGTACCACGCGAACTTTACTCGACGCGTTTTTGGCAAAGTTGTCAAATGACTAAGAAATGAACAAACAAATCACTTTTTCACATGCGTTCAGAAATTCTATATTTTGTTACATTATAGAAGACGTATATATGACCTTATAAGACTTTTCATCTCGCGCAAATTACGTTTTATTGCATTTTATTTACCAATAAATAGCCTCTTGACACACTTATGCAAAAGGGGAACTGTCGTAGAACCTCGTGAGCGTGGATAGCAAACTATTTTGGCTCATGCAAGTTATTGTCAAGATCAGCTAAATACGTTATTGTAAACGATTTTAGTTTAACGTTAAAAAGCGAATTTGACGCGATAAACCTCATAATACATTAATAGAAATCAAAGCAACTACTTATAACTCCGTCTCTCAAAACACCAACATACATTATGAATGCACACAGCTTAAAAAGAAAACTGGACGAAGTTGAATCGCCGGAAGTGGCTCTTCGTTTATCCCCTGAATGTACCTCGGACGAAGAATTATCTTTTTCGAGGAATCTATATACCATTCATAATGATTCTGTTTTAGAGGCATTAGCAGCGAATAGAAATGAGATGGCGACTTCAAGTAAATATCCTATGTTTTCTTATGAAATTATCATCAGTACTTATTAGCTAAAGAGAAAACCATTTTTCCTTGATAAATAAATGACCAGATTTTTCGCGTGTCTTGATACTTTACACTGGTGGTACTATTGGAATGAAACAGAACAAAACATATGGATATGTTCCGGTTGGTATTCAAAAGATATCGATAAATTACGTGAAGTATTCTAATTGATAATTATGACTTTGCAGGTTCCCAATTATTTAACAGAAACTCTCTCGCAAATGTCACGATTTTATGATCCGCGGGGTCTTTCGAAAATCACTGCATCCTCTTTCGATACACCTCATATCTTCGATCAATCAGCTGATCGTGATGTGTTTATGAATAAAGTTGTCATCGAAGGTAAAGTTGAATCGATCCGAGGTTTAATAACACCACCTTCTTTATACGGAAAAAGAATAAGGTAAGAAAGATAATTCATTTTATCAATCGCTCGTTATTTCTAAAATTATTTATAATATTCTAGTTATTCTATATACGAATATGTGCCTTTGTTGGATTCATGTAATATGACAATGAAAGGTAATTTAAATTTTATTTTTCTGTAAAATGGGAATATCTTATCGATCCTAACAAATATTCAATGCTGAAGATTGGATAAGAATCGCATCAGACGTTGAAGCAAATTATCAAATTTACGACGCTTTTATTATACTTCATGGTAAGTATTTTTTTTAGTCGGTAAATTTAATGCATCAATTTGATTTAACTCTAAATTCATTCTTGAATAAAGGAACGGATACCATGGCTTATACTGCAAGCGCCCTAAGCTTCATCTTGGAAAATTTGGGGTATTTTAAATAATTGTTTGGGATTTTTTTGGTTTGACATCATTTTATTTATATTGTTTTTTTTATTTGAAAGAAAAACTGTAATTCTAACTGGGTCACAGGTAATGTAAACTCTGAAAGAATCAAACTTTTCATTATATTTTATACTTAGTTGATTTACCGTTATTAAAAAAATAGGTTCCAATTTCTGAAGTTCGAAATGATGCAGTAGAAAATTTATTAGGTGCACTTACAATAGCGGGCCACTTTGTTATCCCAGAGGTTTGTCTTTTTTTCAACAATAAACTCTTTCGCGGTAACAGGGTATCGAAAATGAATGCTGTGGATTTTGACGCGTTTGATTCACCAAATTTGAGACCATTAGTAAAGGTTGGCATAAATATAGGTAAGAGAAATGCATATGGACTAAGTGCAATAGAAACAGTGTAAACAGGATTAGAATTTATAATACAATTTACGCCGTTTCTATTGCACTCCGTCCATATATCAAAATTTTCTACTGGCGATAATATGTTGGTTTTCTCTAATTTCTCTTTCCAATCACAGAGGTTAATTGGTCTGAAATTGTAAGGCCTTCACATATAGCCAAATTTAAGACTCATAAAAAACTAAATTCAAATGTCGCCACTCTCCGATTATTCCCTGGTATAACCGAATCAACAGTTCGCGCCTTCTTAGCGCCACCTATCGAAGGTATTGTGCTTGAGACTTATGGTGCCGGCAATGCTCCCGATACTCGTGAGGATCTCATGAAAGCATTCACGGAGGCAAGTGAACGAGGAGTGATTATAGTGAATTGCTCGCAATGTAAAAAAGGATTGGTGACGGATCTATATGCGACCGGAAAAGCGTTAAATAAAGCTGGCGTCGTACCGGGAAGTGACATGACCGCAGAGGTAATGACTCCTTTTTTGCTGCTAAAAAATTCTTTCTCTATTTTTACAATCATGGATTTTCTACGCATATGTAGTGCGCCTTAGCGAAACTCTCATATCTTTTAGGTCAAAATCTTTCAGCTAATCAAGTTCGCCAAGAAATGACTAGGAATCTGCGCGGCGAATTGACTGTTGTTTCATCCAAACCAAGATTTACGTTCAATAGATCACATACCCTAATTCGGAAGATAATAAGTACGTAATTAATCGGTAAATTCTCATTCTTATCCCTTTTGTAAATAATAATTAATGTTTTATTCTCTTAAAACTTTACTGCAGCTGCAGCTGCGAATTCAAAAACTAATGCATCTTCGGGACTTTCAATTAACTTGCAGGAAAGAGTATTAATGGAAAAATCTTTATATCCTATTTTATTATGTTCTGCTGCGGGAACAAATGACTTGGTTGGGATGGAAGAATTGTGGGAAAATGTTGGCGAGTCACTTATTTTAAATTGTGTAGATTACGACGAGAGGACCCCAATGGTAAAGACTTGAGCGCTTGTTTTAGAGAAATATTTCATGTTTGCGAGCAGGTGGATTAGAACTAACTATTTTTGATCCATGTAGCATATTGCGTGTACATCTGGTCATTATAAGATTGCCAAATTTTTAGTGGAGCGTGGAGCGTCTGTACATGTTAGAGATAGGTTTGGCCATACGCCATTGTTTGAGGCAGCAAGAAACAAGCATCGAGCTATCATCGAGTTATTACGATTGGCTGGTGCTCATTTTAATGATTCTGAAAGTGATCACGTTATTTTCCAAGCCTTTCTGTGAGTACACGTACTTTCTTTTTTACTTGACGAAAAGGTCATGAATATATAGATAATTATAAACATCTCCTTTTATTATTAAATAACAGAGCGGCTTCAACAGGGGATGTTGAACTCTTAAAAAATTTTGTAGATGCTGGTTGGGAAGTGAATCGATCAGGTTTCGATCACCGAACAGCTCTTCATCATGCCGTAGCACAAGGGCATCGTGCTGTCGTCGCCTATCTACTATCTTTGCCCGGTATTTTACCAGATACTAAAGATCGCTGGACAAAAACACCTTTAGACGACGCTGAATTAAATCTTGGTCGTATGTGGGGAAGAGACGATCAACGAGAAGCTGACGCGCGAGATATTGTTAGCATGCTCAGATTAAAAATTGAGGAACGGCAGCGAGCAATTGCTCAACTCAACACTTCGACTGCATTGCCAAACGAGGTTGAATCTGATCAAGGTCGGAACTCTGGTCAAAATAGAATTCGCATTCGAAGTTCTATTCCAACCACTCCAAACTCTTTTAATAATGATGACGATGATAATTGTAGTAATAATTACAGCATTAGTAATAGGCGAGAATCGCTGAGTGTGACGTTGATAAAAAAAGGTTTCGAAAATGCAGATGCTGAAATTTCTATAGATAATAAAAATGGAACGTTATCAACAACAGTTTCGCATTCATCGTAGTCATAAACGCGCACTTAAGGGCGTACCGTTAATCAGGTGATACTTTTTATCGGACCAATTGTCACCACCTAAAAATCACCTGATAAATGGCATACTCATGGGCAATAATATAATAATAATAATAATTCTCTTGTCCACGGAGCCACACTTATAGAGCATTCTTAGAGTCTAAGTAAAATCATTGTTTTATTATATATCCACGATTAGTTAGCTAATTTAAGAATTCAGGTGCTCATGAAGAAAAGATTTTTTGACAAATTAAAAAAGTCTTTGTCTTCTATATACGTAACTCTTTATTTAATTGAATATCTCCGCAGACCTCTATTACGGTATCCAGCCATATTGATGATCATAACCTCCTAGTGGCCTTCTCTCTAAATGTTGTTATTAGCAAAAAATTAAAATATGCCTTTCTTTTCGTTGTTTCTTTTCTTTTTGCTTTTTCTTCTTTTATTTCGTTTCTCTTTGATTTCCGTTCTTTTAAATGGAATCGTGATTACTTTACGTGGAAAGAAATGTCTTTCCCACGGAATTCGAGATTCACGTAAAATATCTGCATAAGTTATGCAAGCAGCAGCGACGCGTTTATCGCGCTCCGAGTCATTGCTAAACACTTAACAATTATCATTAGATATTTCTTAATTGTATTAAAAAGATTTGGGATTTACCTCATTTCATAGCGGTCTCCATGTCTCATCATTTCAATTTTTTCATTATACGTATCGAAGACAGATGAATGCAATGAAATTAGCGTCGGAGGTTCACGTGCAAAAAGACGAAATACTAAAAAAACCGAGTTAAGATTAGCAATGCAAAATAAATCTTCAGTTGTAGACGCTACCTTGCTTATTATCATCGTTGTCGATATTCATTGCTTTAAGAAGGGTAATATGTTAGCGGATGTTTATATAAATGGCCAATTCACTTGTAAGAACCAACCGGAAGTGATTTCACTGAATAGCACGTCTCTTTGGATTCTCTCGGAAAGACGTTTAACTGCATCTTCATCTATTCCTCTTTCTTCTTCCTCTTCATCAGATGAGTCTCGGAAAAGCGCGTGTCGTGAAACTATAGCTGTTTCTGGTCGGATTTCAAGATGTCTTGACAGAAGAAAAAATAAAAATGGCTAATTCATATGATCGTTGAATTAAGTGTAGATTTGGAAATTACCGATTGGCTCTATTATTTTCTTTCTTTCTTTCACGCGAAGGTTTTGTCATGGCGTAAAAATTCACCAATAATCATTGCCGTTTTGGGAATCTTCAAAAGGAATTCTAGAAATATCAAAAATTCAATTTGTGTAAGCCGAGAAAATGGCCGAAAAAAGAATTGAAAAGGATCAACAACAGAAAAGTATAATAACGATATGTTATATGTGTGTATGCATGGAAACACGCAATAACGATAAGTCCACAAACCCGAAAAAGTGTAGTTAGATGCTCGGTGTGAGAAATATATAAAAAGGATGCATTAAAAGAGATACCAAAAATTTTGTTCTTTTCTGTTGAAAAAGCGTTTACGCTTTATTTTATATCGTTCATTTTACTTTCTTTATCTTCTCCT